TGAATCTGTCTCAGCCTTGAATTATTATTATTATTGCCACTTTTTATTGCTTCATTAATCACCAAACATACTGAGAGGGATTGATGAAGTTAATTGTTTTTAGAAACTAAATTAAATACAAGAGCTAATGCCAGGTGACTGAGCCCGACCCTGTGTACTTACCTCAACAGAGGAGTGGACAGGCTGCTGAGAGCTCCAGAAGACCTGGTCTTTTCAGATGTCACTGTGACATTCATCTTCAGTTTTGTTTGTACTTAGTTGCATGGCTCTTTTTACCTTCAGTCAGTTTATAGAACACACCTGTAAGTTATAGTTTAAAAGTTTTATATTTATGCAAAAAAAATTTTTTTAAATTAAAAAACAAAAGTGTTATGTCTGCCAAGTTGAAGTGATGCAGAGATCACCTTTAAATGGACCTCTGCATTCATCTGTTAGAACTGCCGTAACAAAATACGACAGACTGGGTGGCTTCATAGCAGACATTTGTTTTCTGTGGTTCTGGAGGCTGCAAGTCCAACATCAGAGTGCTGGTGGGTCTGCTTTCTCCCAAGGCCTCTCCTGGGCTTGCAGATGGCACCTTCTTGCTGTGGCCTTGTGTGGCCATGCCTTGTGCACGTGTGCACACCTCTGGTGTCTTCCTCTTCGTATAAGGACACCAGCCTCACTGTGTTAGGGCCCTTCCCTAATGACCTCATTTCAAGGATCTCTCTCCTAATACAGTCACAATCTAAAGTTCGGGGGCTTAGAACATCAACATGTAAATTTTGTGGGGACATAGTTCAGCCCATCACAGCATCTTTGTTTTTATTTGTTTGTTTGTTTGTTTTAGGGTTTTATTTTTTGTTGTTTGTTTGTTTTGAGACAGAGTCTCATTCTCTTGCCTTGTCTAGAGTGTCAGCTTATCTTACACCAACCTCAACTCCTGGGTTCAAACAATCCTCTTGCCTCAGCTTCACGAGTAGCTGGGACTACAATCACCCACTACAATGTCCAGCTAATTTTTCTATTTTCTAGAAGAGATAGGGATCCTGCACTTGCTCAGACTTGTCTCCAACTCTTGAGCTGACTTGGTATTCCCTCCCACCTCAGCCTCCTAGAGTGCTAGGGTTACAGGCAGGAGGGAGACACTAACACAGCCCCATCATAGCGTCTTTAATCAATTCCTAATGGCCACGGAATAGACAGGGAAGGAAATGAATTTAAAAATAAATTCATTGAGATAGTTCTTTTAGGTTCTTTCTTTGGTTAAAATATTCATACCTCCTGGATCTTGTGTTTCAAAAGACTAGAAAATTATCTTATATTCAGAGTTTATGTTCCATCTCCATTTCTTATCATGTGGCAGATTATATAGTCTGGGAAATCTTAGATTAAAAGAAGCTGCCTCCAAGTGGTAGATTTTTTTCTTTCTTTTTAAATTTGAGCTCAAACTTAGGGAAATCCCTGGGGACAAAAAACAAAGACAGAACTGAAATTCAGACAGTTACCCTGAGCCCTGAGCCCACATGAGGGAGGGATTAACACCCAAGAGAGACCCCAGTATAAATCTGGATTTTCACAGGCCAAACCCTGGGGGGGAGGGGCCTCCCGCCAGAGGCCTGGGGTGGTGAGGAGGTGAGGCCATGTCAGCTGAGGCTCCAGATAGGAACCAAAGTTATCTGGAGAATTTTTTTTTTTTTGAGAGTCTCTGTCTACCTGAGTAGAGTGCCATGGTATCCTCATAACTCCCAGCAATCTCAAACTTTTGGGCTTGACAGAGCCTTTTGCCTCAGCTTCCTGAGAACTACAACAGGCACCCACCACTATGCCTGCCTAGTTTTCTATTTTTAGTAGAGCCGGGCTCTCACTCTTGGTCAGGCTTGTCTCGGACTCCTGAACTCAAGCAATTCGTCTGCCTTTACAGCCATGAGCCACCACACCCGGCCAAGAATTTTTAAACACAGGGCTGTTTTACATTGAATCAAGTTCAAATTTGTGCTGTTTGGTCTGACATTTCTATTCTGAAAAGGATTTCTGGACATCTATACCCCTCGTCTGGCAGAAACACTTGCAGCGTCTCTCCATGAGGCTGCTGTCTGCACCACAGGCCCTGAGCGATCCTCGCTGTAAAGCCTTGTGAAGCCAAGCTCACGATCCACACCCACCCAGCACAAGGGCAACAAGCTGCAGGGAAAAACAAGCAGCAAGATTAGGCTCCCAGGGACTTGAGAAAAGAAACTAATGGGACATACAGTTATGCCGAGAGTGGCTCAACAGGTAGAGGAGCTGAAAACCTCGGAAAAGAGTCAGAATCCACCAAATGATGACCTGATGAATTTCAGGACAAAAACAGGCCTGTAGGAATGAAAACAGAAATGATTAAAAACCGATTGATGGGATATGAAGCAGGGTTTTGGTTTTGGGGGGTTTTTTGCAGTTTTTGGCCAAGGCTGGGTTTGAACCCGCCACTTCCAGCATGCTGGGCCAGCGCCCTACTCCTTTGAGCCACAGATGCCGCCATAAAGCAGGTTTTTGAGAAGATTACTCAAGAGGATTCTATTGTCTTCTTTCCAAGGAGAATCTCCCCTCTGTTGAAAAGAGGTGGGGGCAACGGGAGATTTTAGTTTGGGCTGTAGACCAGCAGGTGCACGGTTTCAACGCAGTTCTTTGTCTTCCTTGCGCTCTCTGTCACCTTCTCTCGTGGGCAGCTGCCAGAGGACCAGTGATCCTGAGCAGGAAGTGTCACTGTCTTCCTGAAGTCAGGGGCTGGCAGAGTCTCCCAGGAAAATCAAAGATGAGTAAACGTGAAGTGTGTAAGCCCACTGCTGTTCCCATTCTCCTGTTCATCAGCTTCTTACAGAAATTGTCTTGGGCTTTGGTGACTCAGCAGAGTCTATCCAAATTGGAAACACCAAAAGACATGGTGTGACACGTCGACTGTATCATGTGATGAAGCTGTCTCATGGCAGGTGACTCAGAGTAGCAGCGCCCTGGAGGGGAGCCTGCGGTGAGGACTGCAGTGAAACCTTGCATCTGTGCCAGGGCTCTGCCAAATGCCTCCCAGGCCCCATTCCAAAGGCTCAGTCTTGGGAGGCTTATCCCCTCTCTGTAGATGAAGCTGTGCGTCTTTGAGAATCTGAGTGATTGGCCTGAGGCCACAGAGCTGAGGATGTGCAGGAACTGCGGACCCCAAAGCCCGCGCTGCTGACTGCCGTGCAAGGCGGGCTTTCTGGACGCAGAGCCAACATTTCCAAACTCTATTCCATGGAGCACTCTATTCCCAAGGAGGGATAACCAGTATTTCTGTGAAGGGGAAAAACAACCCCAAGTCACACACATTTGGGAGAGAATGGGTGCCATGCGCCCTCGTAAATCTTCACAATGCAGGTTAGCACACTAAAGGCCAAGAAAATCTTTCTTGAGAAAACCTATTTAATTTTTCAAACTAGCATTTCTCTTATTAACTCCTAAGATTCACCCCTCCCTCCCCATTACACTGTGGTAGTAACTCATTACCTATTAGGGAAATGCACACTAAACTACAGTAAGACACAACTTCATACCCACCGGGGTGGGGTTAATTAAAAAGATGGACAGCAACAAGTGTAGCAGGCGTGTGGGGAAGCGGAGCCCTCCTACCCGGAGGGGATGTCAGCTTGTGCCACAGTCTTGGAAACCACTTCAGGAGTTCTTCAAAGGATAAATGCAGAGTTCCTGTGTGACCAGCTCCACTCCTAGGTAGATACATGAGGAAGTGAAAACAGATGTCCACACAAAAACGTATCTGTAATTTGTTCACAGCTGCATTATCACGATAACCAAAAAAGGGGAAACGACCCAAATGGTCACCAGCCTATGCATGGATAGATAACGTGTGGTGTATTTATGCAATGGAATATTATTCAGCAATAGAGGGAATGAAATGACATGTGCTCCAACAGGGTGAACCCTGAAAGCATGCTAAGTGAAAGTCACCAAAAGCCACGTATTTTACGATCTCGTTTACGTCAAGTGTGTAGAGTAGGCAAATCCAGATGACTGGCTGCCGGGAGCTGGGATAGTAAGGGATGGGAGATGCCTCTTCGTAGGTGTGGGGTTTCTGTTGGGGGTGATAAAAATGGCCCGAAGTGGATTGTGGTGTTGATTGTACAATTTGTGATACAGTCAAAGCCTTGAACTGTGCAGTTTAAGTGGATCGATTGTACTGTGCATGAGTTAATGTATCAGCAAAGCTGCTTTTAAAAACCTGAATTGACGGCCAGGCATGGTGGCTCACCCCTGTAATCCTAACATTCTGGGAGGCCAAGGCTCGTGGATTGCCTCAGCTCGTGAGTTTGAGACTAGCCTGAGCCAGAAGGAGACCTCATCTCTAAAAATATAGCCGGGCATTGTGGCAGGCGCCTGTAGTCTCAGCTACTTAGGAGGCTGAGGCAAGAGAATCGCTTAAGCCCACGGGTTTGAGGCTGCTGTGAGCTATGAAGGCACTCTACCAAGAGTGACAAAGTAAAACTCGGTCTCCAAAAAAAAAAAAGCTGAATTAATATCTGCCAGCAGTTTGGCCAAGGCTGCTGTAGGAGTCTTTGGTGCCACTCTATGAAGGCACCATAGCTGTCCATGTCCCCCTTTGCTATGCTATCCCATCCAAAGCATCCTTGATATTTGAGAAAGTAAACATCACAGGGCAGGGTTTAAGTGAGCAGTCCCACACACAGGACCCAAAGCAAGCAGCCCCGCTCACGGTTTCTGCTGTGGTTACTCTGGTGCTCTTACAAAACACCGGAAAGGTGGCCAGGAAAGGAAACTCGAGCTGGGAGAGTTTCTCAGTGGCTCTGGAATGAATGTGAAGTGCTGTATTGTGTTGAATCTCCCCCAAACACTAACCTTCCCTAGTCAATAACTGCCACCACCAGATTCTCCAGACTAGCTTGTGGCCACCGGGCGCCAAAACCTCCCCAGCTAGTTCCCCTGTCCACAGCGACTCCTGCTCTGTGTAATCACACTCCCCTTTGTTTTCATTTCAGTGAAAGCTGGTGGGATGCGGATTGTGCAGAAACACCCCCACACGGGAGACGCCAAAGAGGAGAAAGACAAGGATGACCAGGAATGGGAAAGCCCCAGGTGGGACAATTCCAGTGACTCTCGAGCATGGTCCACAAATAGCATAATTCAGTTAAACATTAATATTTGTTCTCTGTTCTGTGCTTCTGATAACCCTGGGCCACGTGGAGCCCTATGCTGTGTGTTTTTCCTTTCCCAGTCAGTGAGGCGGCGGTTTTGTTCCCAGATGGAAGAAATAGAGCATCTAGAGCACCCTCTTCCCTACCCAGGCCTTGTGCCCAGGGCCAGAGGCACTGGCCGTGTGCCCAGTGCAGTGCGGGGGAGTCATGTCCAGGTTGGCAAGTAGAGGCCTGCTCCACTGCCCATGGCTTAGCCAGTGCCACTCCCTTCCTGGAAGCCACAGGCTGTACAGGGCAGGAGCAGATTGGGCTCAGGTTCAAGCAGCTGCCGGTAGCCCCTTGGTTTCCGTCACTGGCCCTGTCCCACAGGCCAAACTGCCAGGCTGGAGGAAATAAGTGAATTCTTGTAACTACTGGGTTTTTGCACTTCAGGCTTCTGTTGTCATTCCAGAGAGGCATCGTAACATCTGTGGGTAGTTCAAAACTTGGGCTTCGATACTGACATCAGCTGGACTCTTGAGAACTGCCACAACTAGTTGAATCTCTGGGGTGGGCCTGATTGTGCATTGGGTTGGAGAACTTTTGATTTAAGAAACATTTGTAAGAATCATAAGCATCTGGGCTCCCCTGTTTATCAGGCAGTAGTACTATCAGTACTATCTGTAGTCAGTGAGGCCAAGCCTTTATGAGTGACTAGGTGTCCTTAAATGATACCTCTGCCCACCCCCACTCCCTGCCTTCTTGGGTCCTAGATAGGAGTCTCCCTGCAATCTACCCCTCACTGTTCAACACCTGTTTTCCTTTTTCTGAATTCAAGTTTGGTTCAAGGACCTTAATACAGATCCATTTCCTTCCCCCTTGTAATACACACATAGGGACCACAGACGCGTGTACCTCAGAGTTTGTCCACATAGAAGAAAGTAATCTCTGTGTGTTCTACTTATAACTCATCTCCTAACAATGCCTCAGCCAGTGGAGGAAAGAAAGTGTGGAAAGGGACGGAGGGAATGGAAAGAAACTAACCCTTGTCTCTGTGGAGTAGGCTCGTGATTTTATGTCATTTCATTCCAGCAGTCCTGGTAGTTGGTGGCATTCTCCCGACTGACACACAAGGAAATGGAGAACCAGACAGGGGTATAAACTTGCTCATAGTGTGCACCTTGTGGGTTAATGGAGCAGGAATTTAATACCCAGGTCTTATGGAATCCAGAGCAGCCCAGGCCTCTAGCAGAGTCCTCACAGGAGGGATGCACGTTCTTGGGGACCCCACATGTCTGCTCACGTATGTCCTCCACCACTTGGCATTTTCCATAAAAGTCGTGTCCACTTACGGGAGGACAACAATTCAGGTGAAGTTTCTGAGTGGTTATCTCTGTCTTTAATCAGCAGCAGGAAGATTTGGTCCAAGTTCTGGTTTTATTCATTTATTTTTTCCAAGTTCTGGTTTGAAAAGAGGGTGATTTAAAGAAAATTCTAGAACTGTCTTTCTCACTAACTGTATTCACAAAGCTATGTCTGGAATATACCAATATCAGTAACTTTCCTGCGGGTCCACAATCCTGTATTTCAAAGCCTTGGGGCTTAATTTAGTTTGGAATTCAAAAATTTTGGAGTTTTAGGAGGAGAATACAGATTCTAGAAGAGTAACCCAATGCACATCCCACATAGCACCCCCTGGGGTCTCAAGCATCATTCTGTAATCTGTACACGATGTTGAAACCAAGTGAAATATGGTTTTTAGATTTAGAGACTTGTGTCAGTTCACGTTAAATTTTACCTCACTATGAATTATAAGCAAACTCTTGGTTTTCAGAACATTCTTGAGTTTGGAATTGAAGTTAAGAGCATGTGGCCCTGTAGTAATTTCCCTCTAGGAAACCTGGGTGTCACTACCCTTCTTCCCAGGCAACTGTTTTCTGAAAAAGAAGACTAGAGCAAAGGCCTTGTCTAGAAAAAAAGAGAAATACCCTGGGAAGTTAATGAAATGCACGCCTTTCTGTGTGAGTTTAAGTGGAATAAGGTACAGATAGTGATTTCCCTGCCTAACACAGCGCCAATACAATGAGCGATGGCAATTTATTAGCATGTTTAGAAATAAGGACAGAACAGCCCACTAGTTTTATTTCTATTGATTTTTTTTCATGAGATGAAATGCAGCATTTCTAGAAGACGAGCCATTTAAATAAATAAGGCAGAGGATAAAGGGCTGCGAGAGAAAAGATCACGCACCAGCACTTTAGATTATAGCATCTTATTCACCTTAAAGATCTGTTCTCTGCAGATTTTTGAAGCAGGCTGACTACAGGATACAATTACAAAATGCATAAGCCAGATTTTTGTTATTGTCGCTGTTTCCTACAGCCAAATTGCTGTAGTGTGTTCCTGATGGACGTGTGGGCTCCTATCCTCTGACTCCGGCATGGCTGTTTACTCTGAGGGTTAAAACACCCGACACAGCGTGTATAGACCGGGCGAGCCTGTGGGCAGTCTTAGGCTGTGCGTGTAAGCGGCTAACTCAACTCCTTCTGGCCCTCCATGCGTCAGGCCCAGCACCCAGTGCAGTAGATTACTTCCACCACCGTGGACTCCTCATTTGTCTAATAGGCTGACTGAATAGGCGTACTTAAGAAAAACCATCAGGCCAGGTATGGGGGCTCACACCTGTAATCCCAGCACTTTAGGAGGCTGAGGTAAGGGGAATCTCTTGAGACCAAGAGTTCAAGTCTGGGAAACATAGCAAGACCCTGCCTCTATCCAAATAAATAAATAAATAATAAATAAGTTTTAAAAGTAAAGTCATCTCTGTCTCTTGGAGTCCAGTGAACCTGGCCTTGCTCTAAGTGTGCTGTTTGGGTTTATTCATTTGGTCCTTGCAGCTACTCTTATTTGTTAACATCTGAACCTCAGACTTAGCGGTTGGTTATTATCCCTGATCTCAATTACCACTTCCTCTTCAATAGTGCAGAGAGTTAAAAGGCTTTTCCAAGGTCACACAGTGGGTAAGTGGCAACGTCTACATTGCAGCTAGTGGCAAGCTCCAGATTGCTCACTCGCAGCCAGGAAGCTATGCTCACCAGCTCAGCTCCTGTTCTGTGCTGGGCACTTACCAAGTACTTCACATCAGGTTTGGTGCCCACCTTACCTGTAAGCTGGTATTTCTGTGCCCATTAAAGAGAGAAAGAAAACAAGGTTTAGGGAAGTATCCAGCCCAGTGCTGTGTAGCCAGTCAGTGGCCTGGCCAGGATTCCATCCAGAGTCTGTCTTGACTTGGAAACTCCTGCCCTTGGTATGTTATAGAAACCCCTGGACATACACAGACTGCAGTCTGGGTCCCTCTGTAAATGAAATTTACTGATTCTGGGATTGCCTGTAACCTTATCCACATGCCTCAAACCTATAATCCTAGCCACCTGAAGCCTCACCAGCAATACACTAATTATCAGCTTAGGTTTCAGGGAACTGGGCTGGTTTTACTCTACGTATGGAAAAGCCTATTTATTTGCAGAAATTGTAAAACATTTAATTATCCTTAGGAAGTGTCTTGCAGCATAGGACTTTACCATCTGCATTACCCTAATCCCGAAGTTGTATATTTTTCATGTTTTGTCCAAGTGTTCTCGAGATATGAGAAAAGGTCAGATGCCAGTGTTGTCCTTAGCCCTGTGTCTACGTTCACCAAAGCCTTTTTATTCCTTTCCAGACATTTAGCAGTGGTTTTAAGTTACTGACTCAGCTCCGGTGGCTTCCTTCCCCATTAATTGGAAAATCAAGTACAGAGAAAGGGGACAAGTGGAGCATTGAAGAGGTTTTTATGTGATAAAAAAAAAAAGCCTGCAACTTTTATAGTAATTATTTTTCTTAGAAAAGTTTATGCAACTCTCACTCCTTTTAATCTTGTACTTTTCCAGAGACTTAATAATTTCTTATGCTGCCAACTTGTTTTGAGATACTACGTTTAAAAAAAGAAAAAAGCCGAAATGTGAAAATGTTGCGCGAGCATTTCCAGCAAGCTGAGTCCACCAGTGACCCTGCATGTCGGAGGAGTAACAGGCGTCATTCTTAGTAGCTAATACTTCCCCGAGTAGCTGCTAGATTCCATCTCAGAACCAACCTAATTAAGGAAAGCAGTGATTTCCCTCAAAGCCTTTGTCCAGTGTAATAAGATGAAGTACCCAGTTTCATATGTAAAGGAGAAATGGCAAACATAGACTGGACTTCAGGATTCACTGAAGGAACGGTTTAATGTCAGGTGTTCACTTAAGTCACACCGTGAACCTGGCTTCGTACAAGACATTCAGGGTGCACGAGTGAGCAGCAGCAGGTGATGAGACGCTGAGGAGGCAGCGGCCCTCCTCTGAGCTTAGGACTTAGAGCCATGGTGCTGCTTCCATACCTGGAAAATAAGCAGCAGTCACGTCATGCAGGATGTGGGAAGGACTGGACACGTACAAATGCTAAGAGACTGAAGGGAGCAGGGAGTGACCCAAGTAACTTTGGAGAACATTTTGACTGGCTACTATAAAGGTAAAGGTAAAGAGCTGTGGTAAATGGTGTATTTCAGTTAGTAAATAGGTTTCTAACCGGGGTATGGGTTAGCAATTCTGAAATTGCCTCATGTGTTTGCTGGGATGGAACAGATAGGTAAACGTATTGTGTATCAGGAGAGCATCATGCATATCTCCATACTTTATTTATTCTCTCTGGTGTCCTTTATTTTTTCTCATAGGACTGGACTTCTGTCTGTTATATTCTCTTTCTAAAAAATATTCATTATAAGGCAGGTCTGTTGGAGAGGAATCATTTTAGCTTTTGTCTTTCTGAAAATGCCTTTGTTTTGCTTTTATTTTTGAGAGATGTTTTCACTGCATATTGACTGTCTTGTTAAAGTTTTTTCTTTTAGGCCTTTCCCATCTCTATGGCATTCCATTGTCTCCTGGTCTC